ATTTTTTGACTTTTTCTTGGTCATGGTTAATAGAAATGAATCTATGATAAATTATAATTCTGAATAATTATTTGACTCTGTTTCGATAGTCTAACTAGATCTTAAAATCGAGTGTGGGTGTGTGGGGTGTAGCGGCGAGATATGGCTGTGGATGAAGATACCAAAGATTCACATCCTTACGTCACACCCACATCAAGCAAAACAAACCTCTTTTTATTGCTTCTTCCTTTAAGTATTTTTCAATGCTTTATCATCATTTATGTATGGCATATTGTCTTTTCTGCTCTTGTTTCTGTGGTTGTCACCTTGTTAAACAGCAATCGTCATTTACGTTAGAAAAATCTGATCAAACACATTGTATAAATAAAACAGATATATATCATTTTCCAATCGTCCAAACATACATTGAATAACGAGCGATATTAATACTTTCTCTTTTCTCTTGCTGAGGTCAATCCATAAAGAATAAAGGTGAATAATTATAAAAATAATGCTCATCAAACAAAACAGGCGAATGTATATTTTTTATCCAGATCAATATATATACAGTGAAACCTCTATATATGGGCACCTCCATAACAAGGGCACCTCGCTTATATGGGCACTCGTCGGAACAACCGATCGATTTTTGCTGTAAATGAACCTCTCTAAGAAGAGCACCTCCGACCTCTGCCCATGGGCACTGATTTTTAGCCTATTCTGTACTTTTACACCTCTCTTACATGGGCAGAGAGAATGAATATTTTCTTCAACATTGTTCTTTTTCTCGTCGTACCTTATTGTTCGAAGAAAGGGAAAGAAAAAAGTTAGTCCGATGTAAAAAAGAAAATTACTCGTCGATACATTTTTTGCCGTTTTGTCAATGAGAACAAGAATATAAATTGTCATGTTATTTGACATTACTCTTCAATATCATTAATAAATGACGACGTTTCATTATCTCACGCTCGATAAGAAGATCGAATTGATCAACGACTATGCTGATGGCACTGGATTATCACAACGCAAATTATGTGATAAGTACAAGGTGTCAAAAGGTGCTGTATATAATATTCTGCAACGAAATGACGAATACAACCAGGATTTCCAATCAAATGCAAACAAAGGTGTCAAACGCAAACTGCAGAATGAGTCAAGCCACAACATCGATGAAACTGTTTTATCATGGTTCGCAGCACAAAGGGCAAAAAATATTCCAATCTCAGGGCCCTTGATTCAAGAAAAGGCACGCGAAGTTGCTGAAGCAATCGGGCTTTCATCCGCGTAAGTCTCTTGAGAGCAACACATAATTTATAATACGTGCCATATTATTGAATTGCTTCACTGATCACTTGTTGAAGCTCTTGAAATGATTCGAAAACTTCATCTGCTCGCATCTACACGTCAACCACAACTCCATCAACTCGTCACTGAATTAGAATCGAAACTGACTGATGCTTACATTGATTCAAAAACTAGCAAGCAAAGTTCTACTATTGATTTCTTTCCAAAAGCTTGATTGTAAATAAGAAAATAGAAAATAAACTTAGACAAAATAAGATATCAAATAATTTAGAATAAAATATTGAATACACTCAAAGATATAAAGGTCGCTTCACAATACATAAGTATGGGTGCCATTTGATGGTGTAGCTTACAGAAACATTACGGTTCGATATCTATACACAAAACTCTATAACGCGGGCACCTCCGTAAGGTGGGCGATTTCAAATAGTCCCAAAGGTGCCCATCTATGGGAGGTTTCACTGTATTTGCAAAATAAAGTGAAACGAAGAATGACCTTGAAAAGTGTCATCTTTATAATATTCTGATTTTTGACTCTTTTTTTTTTGAAAAATGCCACGCAACGAAAATTTTTCTTCACTTGTTAAAATCTGCATTTTTTGATGATAAAATGGTCATAATTAGAACTACCAATTCAGTATCTGTTGCAGAAGAGCATGTCGCCGAAGCACGACAGCTTTTTGGAATCGAGTGGAGAAACTCTGAGCCGAAAAGTGAATAATTCAATAAAATAGAAACTCATTTCTTTTAGAATGATAAGAGAAATAGATATTCTCTATTCAGCTGTCAAAAACGCCTATGCTTTCACCTCTTATCTTGCAAAATGAACGTGAACTTGAAAGAAATGCAAGACATTCGTTTGCTCAATGTTACCTTAAATAAATGAAAACATATTTCATATTGGAAGCTGAAAGGAAGAGAAGAACAATTATTCAATGGAATTGAAAAAACTTGATTCATGAAGCGAAAATTTTTCAAAAATGGAAGTAAATGTTGTCTGAGAAAACTGTTTTTCTAAAAAATTTTCCTCAAAGAGTCTATAATCCAGTTGTTGAAAGACCATCTCTGGAATTCTACAAATTCCGTCGGACTCCATAGAATTTCAGGATTCCATGACGGCACTCGTTTCTCTTGATTTTAACTCGCGTATCATCGTCGATCTTTTTTGTTTTTATCTTTTTTTTAAAATCAGTCATTGAAATGTTTGTCTATTACTATAATTTGTATTGTTTTTCTCTCGTATACATTGAGTTTTTTATGTTATATTATTAATTAGCAACGACAAAACGATCTATAGCCTAATATTTAAATGTGTCTTTGCAATTGTATTGAGAAATTTTGAAGTACCTTAAAAGTGGCTTAAAGTAGTCAAAAGTTCGTGTGAAGTAGTTTAAATTACTTCGAAGTACTTTAAAGTAGCGCAAAATAACTTCAAGTACGAGAGTCCATCTTTTCTCCCTAGTATACTGGTCTCAATACGACAAACAGTCAGTTGTTATTCATCGGACAACGACCAGTGATACATGACATTTCTACTTGATTTATTCTCAACTTGTTTCATTGAGATCGTACAACAATATTTGCTCCTCTTTTTATCGTATATGCTAGGATTAATCCTTCCAGTATGATATCAAGTGTCGATATCTGTATACATATAGTGTTCGTGAAACCGATAGATTTCAATATTTTCGATACTGATAAAATGACATCAAATTTCAACTTGATAAACAAAAAATAGATCTGTATTACTGAACATATTGAAATGTTTCGCTCCCTTCGTTTGCTTAGCTCTGCCTTTTCCACCAGGACCGGGCGACAGCATTTGTGCAACAGCGACCTGGTCTCTCAAGATGGCCAAACTGTGGCTGGTGGCAATGGTGAAGGATCTGCGCTCAATCAGTTGAATTTGCCAGAGGGGTCTCTTTGTTGATAATAATCAAACTATTTATATTGCAGTTTATTATAATCATCGTATAGTGAAATGGAATCGCGGTGCTTCAAGTGGTCAGGTAGTCGCAGGTGGTAATGGAGAGGGAGATCGTAGTGATCCATTGAAATATCGAGTCGATGTTGCCATCGATAAAGATGGAACAATGTACATTAGTGACTATGGTAATAAACGTGTTCAACGATGGTTTCGAGGTGGTCAAAGTGGAAGAACAATTATTGAAAATATTCCTGTTCTTGGTGTAGCATTGGATGATGAAAGATCACTCTATGTATCTGATTATGGAAATCACTCAGTGAGAAAACGGCGTATTGGTGAGACGATTGAACAAGTGATCATTTCAGGACTTGGTTATTCGTACTATATGTTCGTTGATCGAAATCGATCTGTCTACATATCTGAAATGGCCACTGACCGAGTGATAAAATTGGACGATGAATCTACGGAAATCTCAATTGTTGCTGGTGGTACTCAAGGTGATGAACTAAACCAATTATCAGAGCCACTGAGTGTTTTTGTCGATCGGTTGGATACTGTCTATGTGTCGGACAGAGATAATGACCGTATAATGCGATGGCTACGTGGTGCGAAACCCGGCAGTATCATCGTCGGTGGTCATGGTCACGGTTCTCAATCAGGTCAGCTTAATCATCCCACTGATATATCATTCGATCTTGACAGAAATCTTTATGTAGTCGATTATGGAAATCATCGTGTGCAAAAATTTGTCATTGATAAGAGTTCGTGTTGATACACGTGAGTGAATAAGTCGTTTTTGTACCTGATTCCTATTCTTTGCTTTAGGATAAATATCGAAATGTATACAAAAAGGAACGATTAAAAAGTGGTGACAGTCATGTGTCTTATCTGTCGCTCTTTTTTTCTAAACTAATAATGTGATTTGGAATAAAGTTCCACAAAATAATGTTCTAACATTAGTCGAAGATGCACATTGATCCCAGACAAAGTCTTTTAGAATTTTATGCGTCGCTCTATCAGATTTAGTCATCATTTTTCATATCGAATGAAAAAAATAGCACCAATAGAATAAATAGTAGCGCAGTGTCATCAAGCCGTTCTTGTTATTGTGGGTGTGTGGGTGTGGATGTGAATGTGGGTGTGGGCGTGTGGGTATGGAGAATCATAAAATCAACACCCACACCAGCTCCTTCAAGCATAGTTGCTCAAGAATATCTGCTCAACAGTGCTTGACTGCAAAAATTGTTCGGTGGCAACGGCAACTTTTTCATAACACATATCATTTCACTTTCGTTTGACTGAACAGGTTTCAGATTATTCTAAATGAGGTTTATTATGTTTTTAGGTAAACTGCTTTTAACTGAAGTGAAAAAACTCTTCACATAAGTCTATGGCGTTCTGCTGGGAAAGTTTGTAAAAGAAAGCAGCTTATTACCAGCGATAACTATCCATAGTAACACTATTAATTACACAGAAATCCTTTGCAACCATTCACGGATGTTTGAAACATAGGAAATAGAGGGGATCTACATCCTACATTCTTATTATTTTATGAAACAAAAATAAATAAACATTTATGATGAGGCTCTTGGAAATAATCATTTAAAGTAAACAGTTTATATCGTTTTTTTATGAAATAACCAAAAAATAAGTATTCTATTATTCTTTGCAATATTTTACATAATATAATTATTAAAGAGAATTGTCACCTCATAAATAAATTTTATTCTTTTGAAATTTTATTTCTATGTTAATATAACTTAAGAGAAAATGTTAAATATATGAATAATTAATAAAAATTGCCATGAAATGATAATGGTATATGTATAGGAAGATAGGCACGAGCAAGTTCTTTAAATGTAATAGCATCAAGTACAAGTAAAAATGATCGTTTATTAATTTGATCTAAAATAATTGATAAAATAATTCCATCATCTTCTCGATCATAATTATCAGAAGGTCTTGGAACAAATATAGGTTCACTTGGTGATGTACATGCTTCTTCCCATAAAGCTACTTGTTCTTTTGATTGAACATCTAATTTAATTAAAGCATCAAAGAAACGACCAGGTTGAGCACGTACACCATATATATATCGATATGGTTTTGTTAGATATTTTGGATTAATACGTCCTAATTCAAATTGAACTGGTACAATACTATTTGAATAACTAATTGAATGAATTCCTTTCGGTTCTCTTGTATTAGCATTTGTTTCAATACATGTATTTGAATCTAAATCTAATTGAAATCTTCTAAGATAACCACCACCTGAAGGAAATATATTTTGACGTAATTTATCCACATATAGTTCATTTATTATTGTTGGATCATCAAAAGCACATATGTCAACAAGAATTTGTTTTTTATTATGTTCATTTTGATAAGAATTAATATGATGAAATGTAAAAAAAGGTGGACCAGGTATACGTGCTATTTGTTCACCTGTATCTAATGAAATAATACGAAAATAAGTTGGCATTGTTTTACCATTCCATTTAAACATATCTGTTAGTGTACCACCGGCTATACAATTCCATATAGCATAAAATGTATTAAAATGATATGGAATTTCTGTTAGAATTAAATAATCTTCACTAATTGATGCTGAATGCATATAACATGCATATTCATATGGAAAATGATATAATTTTGTACTTGATTTAATACAACGATTATAATCTTTGCTTTTCGAATTCATTTTATTTGTTATATTAATAAAACTATCGTTAGCAGATATCCATTTATCAATATCATCATCATCATCATCTATATTTTAAAAGAATCTTTGTTTTTTCCTTAATGAAATAAATAAAATAAACCTGTTTTATCTTGATTAAATGAGTGATCTGATATGAATATAACATCAAGCCAATGGCCTTTATGTGTTATTCTTCCACTAAAACCAATTGTCATTTGACGTTTATCATCATGCATAACATGAGCTGTTGTTATTGTAAAGATTTCTGAATCCATTGATTGACTATAAGGTAATGTTATAAGTGGACCTATTAATTCAAGTGTATTTGGATCAATAATATTGCCTGTTACTGTTTCTGTAAGTGCTAATAATTGATTATGTACTATTTGAACAGTAATACCTGTATCATCAGTAGATGTTGTTGGATCTCGAGGACGAAAAAGTGATTGAAATCTCCCAAATATTGATTTACATGGATCTGTACCAAATTGTCGTACCATTAAACGATTATTTAATAAGGATTGAGTATATGCACGTGATTTGATAAATGATGCACGAAAACGAACTAATTGTGATTGTCCATCAATAGAATACTTTTGAATAAAAGCAAAACCATCAAATGCATGATTGACTGATGTTTTTAAATCATTATTTATTTCATAAGCTCCTGGACCATTACGATAAAGAGTACCTTTTAACCATTCAGGAATTTTTCCTTCAAATTCAATTATTTGTTCATCTTCAACATCTCTTGTGGAAGCAAAGAGATTATAATTATTCCATTCTTTTTCATCTTGTTCACAAACATTTGATTTTGTCATCATATGTATATATATATATATCTAGAAATAATAATATCCTATATATGAAATAATTATTATCATTAATAAGTAAGTGTATCATTTATTAAAACAAATGAGCATATTTCTACATTGATCATTATCATTAACAAGTTAAACTAAATGAATTTAATTATTCGACACTATATGAATTATAAAAGTAACACCTGTTTATTATACACTGATTAAAATATGCTTGTAAATTCAATAATATTAACAATTAATTAATTAATATAATAAACTGTGAGAATTCGTGCAGACTACACGATTTTTTATTTTCATCATCGAAAGCAAGGTTTTTTCTCAAGGCAAGGAAATTGTCAAAGACATAGTTAGATCTGCTACCAACACTATTTTCGCAGAAATTATTTTTGTACGCTGTTGCTGCTTTCGAATAAGACTATGCCATCTAACGGTGCTCAAACTGTTACTTCATTATCTCCAATATAAAGATAACTTCACCTATTCAAAGACCAAACTATATATGGATATCTATCCTCACCGAACAATACCCACGCACATCTACGTTACTTTCATAAGAGATTCGTCTCAGTCCACATTGTACCATCACATTCTCCTTATCTATATCTCCCTCGACTCCTCACTTCCATACTTTCTTCATCTATATCCCATATAGTCTTACCCTCTTTTAGCCTTCGACCTGTCACAGACACCCACAGATACACATTGAACATAATATACATAGATAAGTTTAACAATAATGATCTATATGTTAGTGCCATAAGAATGGAATATACTCAATTAAAAGGTATTTGTTTATTCTAAAAATATTCATAGTTTATTTAATTAATATTAATTAATATATTTGAAAATATATTTGATTGTATGAATGATTAAATTAAAATAGAGATTATTCCGATAAAATTTATTTTAAGTTAATTATTGTTAATATATTTATATATATAATTGAACTTATTTGTCTAATATATACTATATTAAAATAATTCTTTCCCATTTATTTTCTTTTATAATAAACAATAAGTAAAATGATTAAGGTTTATTTATATATCGACGTAAAAGTACAAATAATAATATATAAATAATCAATTATTTTCTTATTGATAAACAAAAGTAGACTTGCTTTATATAAATATGAATAAGATGTTGAAATTTTTTTATATGATCGTCATATGTTTGATTAAGTTCGATAGTTTATCATAAAAAACTTCAAACATATTTATATGAGAAATAAAAATATTTGAAAAAGGTTTGAATATGTCTATTATAATATATATATAATAAATTCATCTGATCGATTTATTTATTATTTATTGTGGTTGTCGTCATTCAAATAAAATGAACTAGAAAAATGATTTATAAATATCTATCATATATTAAACCTAAATAATAATTCATTTATTTTCTTTTTAAATATTATTGATAAAATAAAACTCAATCAAATCTTCCGATAGATAGTTTATTATTTATCAATAATATGTAACTTGAATGTGACGAATAAGTACGTTATTATCATCTGTGATATGATGAATTAAATTGATTGCAATTATTATCCCATTGAATAGGATCAATCGAATAATAAAACCTCAACTATAATAAGATAGTGAAAAAAAACATATGTTTATCGAAGATAATAGAAAGATATATTTAATAAAATGTTAATAACTATTGACTAATCAGTATATATTCTCAATAGACAGATATTTTAAAACGTCAATCTAAACAATTCTAATAAGGGACTTTTTTTTCGAGAAGATTTTTTAAAATTTCGATCGATCGAAACGCAGACTTTGCTGTCATATTTACTTAACTCATCAATTTATTAAACATTTATATTAACTAGAATGGTCGGAAACGGTTGTTTTTTTCCTTTTTCTACCATGTCAAAAACATAGAGACAACAGCTATTATTTCTGTTGAATATTCAGACTCCTTCATTGAATTCAATTTACCTGGAATCTGTTCAACAACCAAGAATCTTGATAACAAATAATAAATGAATGATATGAAATTGATATATAAGTGGAGAATAGAATTGACGATTAAATGGTGTTAACCGTTAGATGTCGTTATCAATCGAATATTTCTCTTGATATTGTTCATCGTCATTTGATTTTATGTTAATGACGTCGAATATCTGACTAATGATAAATATTCCAATATTGAGAATATATTCAAACAATCTACATGATTGACATTCGTCAAATTTATGCTTTTTTTATTGTTACGAGTATAAATGTCCTTTCTTAATATATGTTGCTAATTTGTCATCCTTATTTTAATCGATTATGTCCTATACATTATTAATTCGTCGGCAAAGTTTCAAAACACAGTATATCAAAATCTCGAAAACCAATACATCGAAGAAGTAAAATTTTCAAAAATCAGCAATATCAAAAAAATATCAAATATGCAAAATGTTTAAATTCAAGAATGTCGAAAAAAAACTCAAAAATGTTTGATATAGAATGAGATCGTTGAAAACTTTTCAATAGTTCACGTTCTATGAATGTGCTGAGTGACATAAAAAGAAAATTTCGATTTTTTTTAGTGAAAGTGCGCGAATGATCTTATAAGTCATATCTCTCAGAGTATAATTCACGATAGGTAATCGAAAGAAAAAGCACTAATCGTCAACTAAATAAACCAAAAAATGAGTGTTGAAAGATTATTTTAGATGTAATATGAATAAATTCTGGAGTAGTTTTCTCTGACTCGAGATAATAACTGGGATCGAAACCAAAAAAATTGTTCGCACACATTTCTGTTCTGTAGACTCTGTAGTACTAACCACGGCGATATAGTAGTGAGTAGTACGAATTGTATCAAGTATTCGTAGAAAAAAAGACTCTTTATGAGAATAAAAGAAGTAAATTGTCACTATGCCGTAAATGTCATTCATTCTGTATTCACTTCATAAAAATTTCTAATTTCGATTATAAAATTTTCATACAGCTTTTTTTAAAAATCAAACATTAATTTATTCATAAGAGTAAAATGAAATAGAAAAGAAAATTTTTGCTTTTGAAAATAGAATTTCATATGTTTTATCAATAATATTTCGATGATGTTTTTGTAATGAATAAATAGATGTTATAAATATATCTTGCATAGCTTGATCACTTAACCATTTTAATATAAAACTTATTTGTTCTAATAAACATTCATTTGATTGACTTTTTTATTTTTTAACATTTAACAATATTCGAATAGCTTGTGCAGTTGCTGCATAAATATTTTGAAAAAAATTAATCACATTTTTTAATAATGTTTTATTTATAAATTTCTCTTCATTTAAAACATTTATTTCATGATCAGATAAGATATAATTAACTAATGATATTCTAATTAATGATAAACTTAGGACATTGTCTTTTTATTTAATATATTGATCAATATAGAATTAATGTTAGTATATATCTACGTTCATTCCATGATTCAATTAATTTTTTAATTAAATCGAAATTTAATTTCATAACAAGAGAATTTTTATGTGTACAAATAAGAAATAAATATTCTAAAAAGATGTTGAACTGATGTTCTATCAATAAAAAATCTATTTAAACTTTTGACAGGTTTTTCAAACATTTGACTACATATATGAATTATTGATGTTAACCAATAACGTGCATAAGGTTTAAATATAGGATGTGTATGTGTAATAAGACGTATGACAAATAATTTTATATTAAATGCTATTGTTGTATCACTAAATTTTGTTATATAAACAAATCATTGGAAGTAGCATATCAGATTGAATAGTTGTTAATATCGTTTATTTCTATATGTTTAAGTAAGAAAATTATAGATACCATACATCAATCTAAATTAAGTGCATCCATTTCAATTTCAATAAAATTTGTTCTAAAATTAATATCTATACCTTCGATGAATGCTGGATCATCATTTTGTTTACGTAAATATATTTCAAAAGAATTTTCTTAGAGAATTTAATTGATTTTTAGTGAAATGATTTTTTTTTTGTTGACTAGCAGCAACGGATGTAAAATAAAAAAAATCTAATTCCTCTGTTAAACTACTACCAAATAAATATTGAGTAGATACATAACTTAATGTAGTTGATGAACGTTGTTGATTTAATTGATTATCACTATTTGATGATCTAAGAAGTTTTTTTACATAAAATATTTAATAATCTACATTTATCTTTTCTATAATAATGTTCTAGTTCAAGAGGATATCTAGATTTATAATATGGATCGATTATGTTTTCAAAGATATATTCGTCCTATAGAATAAATAATTAAGGTTAGTTCGATAATTTAATTCAACTGGTAGAAGGAAAATCATAATGGATTATGAAAGTAATGAAATTTCTTATAACGAGCTGACCTTTCGAGAAAGTTTTTTTTTTTAGCAATGAATCAAAGTTTGTAGAACTTTCAAAACAAAAGAACTATTATAATCCAGTAGGGGTGTGGATGTGGCTGCATTTATTTTGATCATTAATACCCAGAGTTGTTCAACTATTAAGAAATTTGGAAAACTATACTTTGTAAGTTATGTTGCTATTGAAAAGATTAATTGAATATAGCTTTAATTCACTATCTGATTAACAAATTATTCTTTTGCTCCATCAAAATAGAATTTCAAATTCTTGTTTATTTAGCCTTGATGCATTGGCATCAAAAATAGAAACTATAAAGTTTACCGTTCTGTTTGGGTACAAATTAATACTGGAATAAGAAATAAAATGAACTTATTGCGTTAATGAATGAATTAAATTTATTTTCATATCTTTTTTTCAATTGTTAGAAAATTTGTTAAGATCATTTCTATTGATTTAGTTATTTATCCATCAATAAATTGTGCATGAACACGTATAATAACATATTTTGTTAGTTCATTTCGATCCATTATTTGTTCAATTTTAATAATTTTTATTCATATTTAATCATTTACGAATTTTCTTGTTTTTTAGTTGTTTCATAAAAAATAATTGCAATTGAAGGATTCAAACGAAAAACATCATCTTTATTTAATATTGTATAGATATTATCAATAAAACGATATATAAATATTTAATTAATTAAAATTGATGATAAAATCAATTTCAATATGAAATAATTGAATAACAAATGATGATATATAGATTTTTTTATAAAATCAATAAATGTTGTTGTTTTTTTACTGATCTTAACATAAATAATAAAAATATTTCTAATGCAATATAAGCGGTGTTTAGTTGTTTATTTATGATAATTTAATTTACTAATATAAGACGATTTATTGATGAAATTATTTCAATTTCAAATATATGATTTTGTTTACAACATAAAATCGATATTAATTATAGAAATAATAAAAATTATGATGATTCAATTGTAGATAAAATTTTTCTTCGTGTACCTTGATAATCATAATATTCTGGTGTATCATAATGATATAGTGCACTTTTTAATAAAAATCAATAATTAGTAAATGTATGCATTGTTCGACATACGAAGAAGAAAAACAATAGATTGACATTAATCAGTTATTTTTATTTCATCGATATTAATGATAAGAAAATGAGAAGTAGTATCAAGCCAACTGATTATTTGATATTTAAATAATCTTAACAGATAGGTACCAATGGTAGAATTATCGGAATCCGTATGAATACAATTTGATTAAAATAAATATAGTCAAACTTCATTTGACTATTAAATAGCGAAAATTTGATGTTGTTCGATTAGAAAATTAATTAACCTCAATGCCTAAGTAAATAATATGATCAAAGCTAGTTTGTAAACTACGTTGATTATCGATAGTTAAAACGATATTTGCTTTATCGGAATCTTCTTCATGATTAATCATTTTCTGTAAATACAAAAAGATTTTTAGATGAAAATTTTATTCATACTGAAAAACAATACCGTTAACATTATTTTTCGTAATTCTTTCGTATATTATTCAGATTGATATGATTTCGATAATAACCGAACATGACGTAAAAGACGATGCTCATGAGTAACAGTAAATACAAGTGATTAAAGAACAGGATTCAGATTTAATTCTTTGATTAAATTTTAAACTCTTAAATTATATTCGAATATTTTATGATTAATAATAATATGTGAAAAGAAAATTTTATGATAACTAACTGAATAATCTATTCTTGATAATTCTTTGAATTCTTTTTGGTTTCTATCTTATTTCTTTATTTCGTTATTAGTTTTTATTAAGTATTCAATATATTGATTAGCATATGGCAAAATCTTTGATCTTATTTGCACTCTCTTGGTCTAAGTGAATTTTTTTGTAGATTCTGGTATTGTTGACAGATGACTGTTTGTATCATTTTGGAGTCTTAAACCAAGGTTGAGTTATTTTGTGTAAAAATTCTAGGATTGACATCTATGATCTTTACTCATATCTCCGATTGACTTTTATTCATAAGTTTAATTTCTATGATATAAGACAACATCTATACGTACCCATCAGTTTTCGTCATTTCTAATGCAATATCATAGAAAAATTGTAATAATTGATCAGGTAGATGAGTTGTCATTGATTTAAGTAAATTAACAATCTAAATATCTGTTTCATCAAATATTTGAATCAATTAAATGATAAATTTCTAAACATATTCTTTCAGATAATTTCTTATTAATTTCTTTCTTATTAATATCAAATCCTAGTTATGTTAGATTAATTACACAAGTTAAAATTAATTTTGTTAAATCACTATTATAAAATGAACTATCAATTGCTCATATTGTATCTTGTGGATATTATTAGACCAAAGTGTTATAATAAAATTTAGTAAACGAACAATAACTATACATTTTGCCCTAAAATTTATAATATGGATGCGAAAAAAACTTAAATCAAAATTGAGTTTTTTTTTTGTCGTTTACATCTCAAATTGATTAATATCAATCGGTGTAAACAATTGTGTTTGATTCCAGGGTGGAAAATAAGTAACTATATCATATAATTTATTCATCGATATTTTTGTTATAAAATACCATAATGCAACTATTAAACGACTTTGTTGATTGGTGTCTAAGATAGTATAGAATGCATTTTCTAGTTTTTAAATAACACTAAAAGTCAACAATCTTAAATAATATATATATTTATATTACAAGTAACGCTCATCTAACGATTTGCTCACCCTTTTCTGAAAGAAGAAGAATATAAGACTTAATTTTATTTCCGTAAATAAAGCAAATTTTATTAGTTTTTCTTCATTTTTTTCTAAACTATGCTGTCTCTCGTGTAATTCTCCTAACTTTAAACTCAAGTATGGCAATTTGAGACGGTTTACTTTTTTTTCGAAATATTCATTTAATTATTTGCCGTCTTCCGTTAGAGTTTACTCCTTCGTTGATTGAATCCCATACATGTACTTTGTGGCAGCTATAGTATTGCTGATATCTTCATTTACATTTCTTTTTTCTAATAATCTTTTGATGAAAAGTTTTGTGTGACTTCTATTTATTTTTGTTGAGTTTTGAAGAAAAAAATGGTAAACTATTCAGTTTTGTTTGTTTATCTCTATTACTTAGTTATGACTTATAATCAGCTACGGGTTATAGCACAATTAGCTGTAGAATATCACTACAATTTTCTTTTGAGAATCGAAAGTTCTAGTCGATTGTTCTATTTTCTAGAAAAGTACTCAGATAGCGAAATCGAGTTAGATTCATCACAAAAGTCAGTATGAATCCATTGTTGATTTTTTATTAATAAAAAAAAAAATAAAAACTTGAATTTCAGTTCTTGTCGAATACCATGTTCTTAAAAAAGTGAAATATTGCAGATTAATCCATAGAAACATTTCTAGCACATCTTTCTTTATTGTCTATGATGTATGTTTTAGTTTACAGTCGCAGTGAAAGTTCTCAATTCCGTTTAACTTTTTGCAATGTCGCCTCCAAAAAAAGCCGTGATGATACGGCCAACTCTCAAAATGTTTTTTTCATTTCTCTTGCTCATTGAAGATATTTCTTTGTCTCTAATTGACTCAACAAACAGACGGATGATACGTATTCTGTGCAGTTTCGTTTGAATGCTCTCAATGCGAAAATGAAAATGCTGTATAAATCTTCCTAAAAAACCATCTTTCATCTGAAATAAAATATACCAGTAACTGGTCAGTGGGCGGCGTCCCTGTAATGCACTTCGTCAGACTCATCTTTTCTGTGTCTCCTATTCTCATTTTCTTATAAATAGATGACTTGATCTCAATATGATCTTCATAACCCGTAAGGTTCTAATGAAAAAAAATGACAACTAGGGTGTGGGTTGGGTGTAGGCGTTCGTCTTCTTTTCACGTACGCTTGCACCCACACCCAATTCTGTACAAGCTGAGGACTTGTGTTCCTCCCACAATTGATCTCAAGTCAATATCTGATGGCATTCTAAATTCTTTAGCAAATTTTCCAGGTTAACTTCCAAACTTTGTTAATTTGATTCGAAATCAGATCATCGTTTTCACCAAGTACATCTTATGCCAAGTCTTGTTATTAAATAAGAACATTATGGAGAGTAAGTTGTGAGACAAAGAAAGACAAAGTATAGTTCGATTAGCACTGCAGCAAATCTATATCAGAACGAGTATCATTAGTATAAGTACTCTAAAATAGAGTATAACTGACGAAGTTGAATATGTACTCAAAAAAAACTGCTCGATCAATTCACAACTGGTGGTGTGATTGATTTTAAATCAAAGAATCTATTGATCACAAGTGGTAGTATTCCATCAATCTGTTTTGGATTGACATTATCGATGCTATCGACCAACGATGGTTTATCAATCCTATTTGACGTATTGTCAACAGAGCAAGATTCATTTTTACCCATCGAACGTTTGGAATCTTCATAATCTGTTTGAGATATCGGCTGATATTGTCTACCTTTTCACAAAACAACACTCAATTTCTATATGTGCAATCATCGACATCATAGATACCTATGACCAAACAACATCTTGATACCGGTCAACGTCGTCCATTCACGATACGAACGATGATACATCACGTTATTTGAATCATTGATATTCAAAAGTGAAGACAATAAAGATTGCTCAATAGAGATATTTATGTTTGATAGAAAGAAAAACATAGCAATAGAATATATGTTAGTTAGAATTAAAAAGACAGATCAATAGTATAATTGCAATGTTTCTCATGACACAACAATTCTATCTATGGTTGTTACTGTCACGCATTGAGTAATTCACCGATAGTTGTTGGGCGACGCGAGTGCATGATATGTTCCTTCACGTGAATATATGAGCCTCGGTTCAATGTTTCACGTGTTATCGCTCGTGAGACAGCTCTTTGAGTTTTCGACAAGACAATATTCCAATTACCTTCGAATGTTTTGATATCATCACGATGTACGGCTGATACCACCAACGATTTGGCATTGCTACGACCTGGAAAAATGTTTATAAATTCGAGATTTTTCTTTTTCTATTACAAGAAATTATGCTTACAGCGTTTGCATGAATCACGTGGTGAGAGATAATAATCAAGATTGAAATACAATTGGGTTACTAATGTTGGATAACCTTCAGCAGTAACCTTGAAATGAATGTGAGCCGGACGGTAACCACCGTCATCGTAGCCTTAGAATTAGAGTATCTCATATATCTAATAATTCTAAACAAGTCACACTTACGGCCAGGAAACAGAGTAGTAATACGAAATTTGCCATTGGAATCCGTTTTAATGATACCTCGACACCACCAATCATTAGCATTCTGACCACCAGAATACACACCATTGTAATTAGCCTAGAGTAATACACATGGATCGAATTATTTTTTCAATTCGACAAGAACCTTTACCTGCCATAAATCCAATTTCACATTGGGAACACCACGTTGACATTTCGATTCGTAATCGAGTACTTGTCCAGTTAAAATCAATCGATCATGTGCCGGTACATTGGCGCAAAGTTGCTCTTTAGATGTAGGTGCACCAGGAAGATAGTACGGTCCAAGAATATCCGGATCAGTCAGTTGACAAGTTTGTTGAGCAGCAACATATGTTATCATGAACAAAACAACAACGTTGTTGACAAGCATTTTTGGCACTGTATCGTTTTTTTTGTCTCGAATGCAGATTCTTAGCTGATTACTTTACTTTTTTCTGTCGATTCGATTTCTTTAAATACTATTCGATGTGTGGGTATAGACATGATGAAGAGAAACGAAAATCCAGTATCATTGTGAGATGCGAAAAAAATAAGGTTCGATTGCCATATTGACATTATTTGAAGAGGATAAAAACACCTAGATATATAGCTGGTCTTTTTTTACACTCATGCCTATAGACCTTGAACTGCGATTCTCTATCATCTCTTTTCTCAATCATCATGATAGGACAAAAAAGACAGAATAATAACATTATAATACTCAGGCAATACCAAAAGGAATGGCGCTTTGACGGAAAAAAAGCAATTAAAGCCAGTTAATCCGACTTTTGTTCTATGTAATTGTTGACATATTCCTTCTTCTGACACCCTACCGATTAGACGCATATACCCATATGTTCGATTACGATTGAAGTGCGACGCAGTTGCGCCGTAACTGCGATCGCAGTTCCAATAAAAACAATCAATGCATGTGAGGTTTTTACGGCAGTTTTTATTACAAATTATAAATATTTTTTTTACAATACAAAAAATTAGGAAATGGAAACAATAATAAAATTTAAAAAAATAAACGTTTATGCAAAAACTTCAAAAATTACAAAATTTTAAACAACAAGAAACTTTTCCAAATTTAATTTAACAAGAACCAAAAAAATTAAAATTGAATAAATTTTAAAAGTTTAGCAAAATAAATTGAAAAATTAATACTAAATTGTTTTTGAATTAAAAATCCTAGACAAATCAAAAAAATATTAGAAATATAAAAGAAATTTAAATTAGAAAATTTAAAAAATCCAATTCTGAAAAATTTTTTAAAATTTAAAATTTTAAAAATTAAAAGGAAAAATTTGAAATCAGAAGGAAATGGATTAAAAAATTTAAATTTATTGTGAACAAAATCAAAATTAAAAACTACTAAAAATTGCGAAAAGCTAAAATCATATTAAAATATTACAATCGGAATACATTTCGTCCATCACGACGGAATGAATTATGAACAGAATTCTGACAGAGAATGACTTTTATAGTCTTTGTACGACTCAATTATTGTGCTAGAGTGTGACCAATTATAAAAAAAGAAAGGACCACTTATAATTGGTTGGTATTAATTACGATGGATCTTACGTGCGCATACTGCGACACAGTTTCGTACAACTGCATCGCAGTAACAGTAGCTTTTCGCATAAGCTTTCTCTGCGGTAACTGCGCCGCCTTTACGCGTAACTGCGATGCAGAATGAGCTCTGAGCGTAACTACGATGCAGTCGAGGGTGTGGGTGTCTGTGTGGGTGGGTGGGTGTGTTTGCGCATCAATGAAACACTCATACCCACGCCCATACCACACACCCCCCACCAACACCCACACCCTACCCACACACCCACACACCCACCTCACACCCACACCCTCTTCTTAATTGTGAAATTGAATAAAGACACTAACAAATGAAAGAATAAGCGTCGATTTTTGCCAAGTCTGATTGGCAACACTATGACAGTATTATCTTTCAAGGTGTTTATATCATTGAAATTCTTATTTAGTCCCTTTTCTGAAAGAAGGGTGTTACATGAAAACATCAATGTATGCTTATTTGTTTGTCTGTCTAAGCTAATCAAAAATGAGCTTTTCTATTTCTAGGATTTTGGTCGTTTTGATAGAACTTTGCTATAGGTTATCGAGGACCAGGAATCCAAATCTGAAGTTGAATTTTCTAATCGAGTTACCATTGACCGAAATTTCGCCAATCAGACGCTAACTTTCTATTTTTTGGACTTGTGGATGTGTGCTTGGTTGCGTATTAGTGACAAAGAGATACACACTCATACAGACAGTCACAACTATACCCGCTCTTGTAACCACATCCATCCACACAGTTTAGGTACACAGACGCTGCGATCATCCAGTTATGTTGGTAATAGAAAGAAGCTATAAATTTGTTCGGTAAAATATCCGTGACATCAACTGACTTTGAAAATATCTTTATAGACAAATTTCCAAGAAATGAATGATGTTCTCTTTCAAAAAAAGGTCAGCGAATCCTTAGGATGAGCGCTGCCTTGTAAGTATTATTATATCGAAAAAAACATGTTTATATGATGTGCGCTTTTTACATTTGATAGGACAAAAATAAACAAATAAAGAGTCCATATATCAAAATATTAAATTCATATCTGTATACATTATTCAATGTAGTGGTAGAAGATGATTGGTATGAAGTATTGGTAGGCTTCATTGTAGTTACATCTTGTAGCGTAGTCGGTTCCAAATGTTCACCGTCACGTTTGAGAATTTCTTTTATCCAGTCATAATAATAAGATAGTCGAGTATATATACCTGGAGAAGTAGCTAGTCCACAATTCTTGCCATATGATACAATACCTACTTGTTCCCAATACTGTCCTGTCCATTGAAATATTGGCCCACCGGAGTCACCTATAGACAATAATTATACTAACATGAAATATACTTTCAATTATACCTTGACAAGAATCTAAAACAAGAAAAAAACTGAGTAAATATTTTTGAAAAAAACCTAATGAAATACGAACCTTTTCCACCTTCATATAATCCAGCACAGAAATGTAATTTACTGTCATTCATAGAATTCAAACATATCGGATCTTGATTATCAATTGTAAAGACTTGTGCTTGTTGAAGAATTTCCGGAAGATAGCTAGTTTGATAGCGAAGTACACCCCATCCAATAACAACAAGACGAGTACCATTCTTTGGATATTGAGTTTGTGATATTGATGGATCAATATAATGAATACATGTTCTCGTCAATCTTGAATTTGATTCAAATACGAATGGTTCATCAATATGTAATAGAGCAATATCATGACGATAATCATTTGGTATACTTGTATAATTTGGATGCATATAAATTCGATCAACATTACGTATGATTTGTAATGGATCTGATCTATTTGTCATTCCTGCTTCAATAGTAATACCCGCTGGATGTTCTGTGGATATTCTACGAAGACAATGAGCAGCAGTAAGAATATATGAATTAGATAATATTGTTCCTCCACATGAATGATCATTAGTGCCTTCCAAACGAAGAGATACAATCATTGGCCAACTATCTTCAATGGCATTTTCACCGCCAACAATACGAGAAGACGTTAGAACTACATCAGCCTTACCACAACCACATGATGATGTCTTATTACATGCATATGACGTTGGGATTGGAGGAGGTCTTAATGTAGTTGTAGTTAGTGAACTACCTATTACAGATTCCATCCAATCGAAATAATAAGCCAATCGGGTAAAAATACTCGTAGAAGCATTACGATTACATTCTCCTCCATGACTTATAATGCCTACCTATAATATACACTTAAAAACTGCAAGATTGAAAGATCAAAGATCTTACTTGTTCCCAATAAGTACCCTTCCATTGAAAAACTGGACCACCCGAATCACCTAAAATTCAATTTTTGTATCAAGTATACACTTCTGATATTTATACTTACCTTGACATGGATCTAAAAGAAATAATAAAGAAAAATATTTCTTAGAAATAAAAAACAATAAAGATGTTCTTTATTACTGTATCCAGACATTCCAGCACAAAATTGCTTTTCTTCGTCATGAATCGATTCTTGACAGATAGGATCATTGTTATCAATCATATATATACTAGTTTGTTGAAGTGTATCAGACGTACTATTGTAATCATATTGGGTTGAGCCCCAGCCAACAATAACTAGATGACTACCAGTCGGTGGATAGTTTACTGTTTCAGTCATTGAATTAATATATGGCACACATATTCGAGTAAGGCCTAAAATACCCGGCATAGATAATGGTGGAGAAATACGTAATATTGCAATATCATTGCGATAAGTACCATCATTTCCGCTCCAATTAGGATGTATATAAATCTCAGTTACATAACGAATCATTGAGAAATCTGTGATTCGATTATGCATACCAGCAGCAATAGATACATCCCATACCAATGTACCAGCAACACAATGTGCTGATGTTAAAATATATGATTCAGTAAGAATTGTTCCAGCGCATGAATGCTCGTCGAAATTGTTCAAACGAATAGATACAATCATCGACCAACTGAATGGAATTGCTTCTTCGCCACCAATAATTTTTGCAGATGATAATTCAACATTTTCTTTACTACAACCACATGATACCATTAATCGATTACATTTATAAGTTATGGCACGGTTTGTAATCGAATCAATATTTCTTGCAATCGATGAAGATGTAAGACTGTTTAAATTTAGAACAGACTCTATCCATTCATAATAATATGACAATCTAGTATAAATGCCAAGGCAAGTCCCACTTCTTTCTTCTGCAACAAAATTTAATATACCAACCTAACGGAAAACAAATCATTCGGATGTAAAAAAAAAATTTTTTTTCTCGATTTCTTAAAAGATTGGAAATTATTAAAATAAATATAAAGCTTCTAGAAAATAACAAAGAATTAAGCGAAGTAAACCATGTGAAACATATTAGAGAATAGGATTCATTATTTAGAAAATTTTGGCTTGGGAAAGGATACATTTACTTTTAAGTATCATTTTATATGATAAATTTTTTACCTGCATCCAACGATTGTTAATCAATTGTAAAATGAGCTCTCCAGGTTTATCTAATAAGTTAAAATCAATTTTTCACAGAGACTATCAATTGTATTTTAGACATAATACGTACGCTTACATGAATCTATAGAAAGCAAAAATCGATATAATGTTAATGAAATTTATTCAAAACAAACCTTTGGTATTGTGATAAAATCTCGTACAAAATTGTTGTTCGACATGATAAACCAATCCTTGGCATATTGGATCATTGTTATCCACTAAAGATACTTCATACTGTTGTAGACTCATAAATGCTATAGTATCAGGGCGTTCTTTAGTACGATCCCATTCCATAACCAATAATCGAGTACTATTCGATGGATATTGTAAAACATCTTTCAGTAAACTGAAGCCTTTTGATCGACATATTCGAGTAATATATTTATCTATGGTGAAATCCAGTGAAGTTGATAAATGTAAGAGTGCAATATTATGCTTTTGACTATTACGATCATTTTTCCAGTTTGGATGAATAATAATACGATCAACTTGTCGAATTATTTGATCTGATTTAAATCGATGGTGAATACCAGCAACAATTGTCACATCAACTAATGATATATCACTCGGTAAGCTATCAATGCAATCAGCTGTTGTAAGAATATATGATTCAGTAAGAATTGTTCCACGACAACAGTCTGTCATGGAATCATTCTTGTGTTGACAATCATATCTAATTGATACCATTATAGACGAACTATATTGCACTGGATCTTCTTTATTAATTTTGTCACATTCATACAGTGTTGCATTACATAAAAAAGTAGCAAATAACAATAATAATAGGTTGGATTGCGATAGTAAATACATATTGATTGTTGAAAGATGATTATGATATGTAAAACACGATTCAAAAACTTTAGAATATGTAGTAACAGGAACTGAAAGCAAGTTTTGTGTTATTGCATTTTATTTTTCTTTATTTTTTATAAAAAGTGTTTTTTTTTCTTTTAAAAGTCAGAGTTTAAAATCATCTTATCAGTGACGACTGATAAAATAGTATCTTTATTTTTTATGACCAATTGCGACACTTGCTACTGACATTGCAAACAGAATTAAGTTGACGAGCTGTTAAGACAAATTTACGAGTATATCTGATAAAAATATTGAAAAGGTTTTTTTTTTGCATTTGAATTTAAATGAAAAATCTAAGTAGCTCAACGGGTAGGTTTTGTTGGCATGTTACTATGTTAAATAGGGTGTGGATGTGGGAACAAGGTGGAGGTAACACTCCGATTCAGTTGCGGGATGTAGGTGTGGGGTGGGTGTGGTTGTGGGGTGTGGCTGTGGGTATTGGTGTTAGTGTGGGTGTGAATGTGAATGTGGGTGCGGATGTCGGGTGTGCGTGTGTGCCTGTATGTGCATGTTTATGAAGAGAGTAAAACCAAAAAAAACCACGCCCACACTCACACCACCCACATCCACACGCTAAACAATTTTAGCACACGCAGAATTATATGTTGATAAAAGTATCATGAAATGAGAAAATATACAAAAGGATGCAATTAAGGTGTACACAATCTTAAAGATTGATAAAATGATCAAGAGGGTGTGAGTATGGATGAGCAGGGAACCTGTATCCACCTACACCCACACCCACACCCAAAGCGATTACTTAACGACATCTGTGTGTCTTGAAAAAGTTACTGTTGCTGCAATTCATTGGAAATCTCTTCTATTGAATAATTCGTCATCGCCAGACTATCTACAAAGCATCAAATTTGTGAAAAATAAACTCTGATTATTTTATTACCATCTCTCTTAGATTTTTAAAGCTCACTTGCAAAACTATCTATCAAGAGTTTTCCGATAAATTGGATCTCGTGAACACAATTATACAACACAGCTGTTGAGTGTGGATGTGGGTGTGAGATTTAACTTCAACCACACCCACAATCTCTCTCTTATTTTTCTTCCAGCATGATCTTTGAATTATGTCAACAACATGGTTTGACTCACAGAATCGTTAAAAATTCATCATTACAACAGATGTTATCGCATAACTTCAATAAGATTTCATTATTTATCTCTAATTTTAAACGATAAAAGAACGGAGGTCCGAAATGTATGAGTTACCGTTATCGAAATTACTTGGTAGGTGTAGGATAGGTGGGAGATGACTTGAAAATCAAATTGTCGCAAATGAAACACCACTACAATCAGGAAATGTTTTAACACTCCTACATATTAACATGATCTTCATTTTTTATTGTTGCTAATATAATTCATTGATGTTAACTGAAATAATGTGACTGATATTTTTAAATAATGAAAAAAATGATTATGGGCTCTTAGCACTACAATTTTTGAATTATATGTAGAGAGTATTTTGTGTAAAAAATTCATATGGTTTGCAATTATCAATATCTACTTACATATTTTTACCTGATGGCTTACACATAATCAAAAGTTGGGCGCATGGTTTTACTCATTGGTCGCATATTTATAGGTTTCAAATGCACAGTTGAATATGATAAGATATTTGTGGGATGAAAACATGTGTTTACGTTAATGATGCAATATAACCAATTGTCTCAATTTATCCATAAAAAAACGCAAAATGATTATCGCAATCTTTCCTATCGAGTAGAGTAATCAAAAAAATAAGCGTAGTCGTCACCAGAGAGCGAAACGAATGAGAAAGGCTCTGTACTAATTGCGAACACTTTTCACACCAATTAGTGAAAAATGGCCGCATTTTGGAATGATTGAATATAGGTTATCTCATTTTTATTGCGTTTCCAAAAAGCGGACACTTTTTTAATTAATTAGTTATTGTGAAATAAGATTATGAGATATGTATAATTGATGAACTTATAAAACGATGAAAAATAACAGAACATTTCATAATTGATACAATGACTACAAATTTTACTTTCTCAACAACCCAAAAGGGTGAAAAAGCAATATTGTATAATAATTACTTATATCGAATGAAACGTGAAACTCAAAAGGGTATATCTTTATATGTTTGTACAAATAAATCTTGTACTCGAAGTGTTACTTTACAAAATGATACAATAATAAAATGTAACGGTATAACTCATGATCATGATCCAAAACTAAATGATAATGTAGAGGTTGTATTAACTGGAATAAAACGTCGTGTATTAGCCGATGTGGATGTACCAATAGGCAAAATTTACGAAGAAGAAGTTAAAAAGTTTGTGAGTATTCAATGTTCTTGAGTAATACTCAATCATGAGTTTGTCAAACTGCACATTTTCATTCTAGCGTCGTGTAAATGGTTCAGCTGCTACTATTCCAGGTTTTGATGCTTGGAGATCAACCTTATATTCTATTCGTAAAACAACTTTACCTTCAGTACCAACATCGATGGATTCAATTACAATTCCTGATATTATGTCGTTTACTCATTCTCATGAACAATTTTTATTTTGTTATACCAACGCACCACACAAGATTATCGCCTTCGCATCAGAATCAGCACTAAAAATATTAAGTAAAAATCATCACTGGAATGCTGATGGAACCTTTCGTACAGCACCATCATTATTTTCTCAAGCTTATTACATACACGTGTGGGATGAGTACAGCATGAAGCCTATCGTCTATTCATGTTGCCAAGACAAATCAGAATAAACTTACGTCAATTTATATCAGTCACTTGTTCAATATGCAACGAAAAAAAAATGTTACTTTGAATCCCACCTCAATATTAATTGATTTTGAACAATCTGCTATTAATGCAATAAATCAAGTATTTCCAAGAACAGTTGTTAAATGTTGCCATTTTCATTTTGCCAAAAATATTTGGAAGAAAGTGAAGAAGTATGGTCTTACAAAATTATCTAAAGAACAAAATATTAGAAGACAAATAGCCAACATTATTAGTTTACCTTTGGTGCCAACAAACGAAATTAATAACTTCATGGAGCGTATAATTGATGTATTATCTAATATTGATTCGAAGTTTGATAAATTAACAGATTATGTATTAAACACTTATGTTGAAGATGGTCGTTTTTCATCTGTTTTATGGAATCATTTTGATTCCATTGGTGAAAGATCACGGACCAACAATCATCTTGAAGGCTGGGACAGACAGTTAAATGCACGTATTCGAGTACATCCAGATCTCTGGACATGGTTCAACGAAATTAAATCGTCTAAAGAATCAGTAATGATTCGTCACGAGCAAGAACAAGCTCAACAGCGTACAACAAGACCCAGAAAGGCAATAGATATTCGCGACGATGCAAAACTTAAAGCAGCAAAATTAAAATCTTTGCAAGATCAAGATTTTGAGTCATATGGAAAGGTATTACGCAGCATTTGTCATCGCTACATTGATGTTCTAATTCATTCGAAAGATAGTAGTGATGAGGAGTAATTGTTTTGCTATGTTTTTTTTTGTATATATATAGTATTTCTTTGAATAAATTATTCTTTACAGATGCAATTGAATGAATCAAGCTGTCTTATAATGCCTATTGATTATTTCTTAATTAAAAAGTGTCCGCTTTTTGGAAACACGATAAAAATGAGATAACTCATATTCAATCATTCCAAAGTGCGGCCATTTTTCACTAATTGGTGTGAAAAGTGTCCGCAATTCAGAAGGTACGATGAGAAAACCTTCATTCAGATTCTATCCGACTCACACTAAGAGTAAAAATAATGTTGTTCTTTTTGTATATCTTATTTGCTATTTATGTTCTGCTGTTCTTTTCTGTCTAAGCTATTTATTGCTCTATTTTCTCGTTACTTTTCTATGCGTGGTATATCCATACAAATTGTATGATTATTCAGTTTTGTAACATAAGAAGTGTAAAAGAAAGCAGATTTTATAGAATAAAATTATTCATAAAATTCCAATACTGATGGACCCCAGAATAAGGCTGTACTTGATCATTGAACAGTCGCAATTTCACAAACTCAGTGCATCTTGCAAAAATGGACGAGCGAGAACTAATCGCTACAAAAGAGTGTAGGTGTGGGTGTGGGGTGTAGCTATTGTCTTCTTACTGGTCGCATTTCAATCCACACCCACACCCCACACCCAAAAGAAAGTGAACTATTACCAGTATCGAAAACTGATAGGATATACTGTTCTAGCCAATGAGAAAGTATCCATTTTCTGATAACGAGCAATATAAAGAGTTGACAGAGTGTCTCATTCATGTGTCCCGTATTTATCAGCGCAATGAATGATAAGAACTCCTTGCAACGACAAGTAACCGGTATTATTCTTGGCTGTGGTAGCCGTGGTCAAACATATGCTGAATATGCTCGACATCTGCCTAATCGTTTTCGACTAGTTGCTATTGCGGAACCTCGACCATCAGTTCGTCATAAACTTCAACAGCTGTATTCACTCGATGATCAGCATGTCTATGATGATTGGCGTCGATTGATTGCACCGGACGTTTCACGTTTGGCCGATTGTGTCCTCATTACATTGCCTGATCGAGAACATTATGAAGCCGCACTAGAGCTTGCTGCTAAAGGTTATCATATTCTGCTCGAAAAACCAATGGCTACAAAACTCGAACATTGCAAACGTATTGTCGCCGTATGTCAAGAACATAATGTTATTTTAGCTGTCTGTCATGTTCTGCGTTATTTACCTGTTGTAAAAAAAATCAAACAGCTACTTGATAATAATGTCATTGGAAAACTTGTTTCAATTCAACACATTGAGGGTGTCGGTAATTCTATTCTTTTTTAGTGCATATACAATGCCATAAAAAATATTTAATTTTTTCAGGATTCTGGAGTTTCGCTCATGCGTACGTTCGTGGTAATTGGCATAGTGAACGCGACAGTTCATTTTCACTTCTTACTAAATGTTGTCATGATCTTGACCTTATTCAATATTGGATGCAACCACGACGATGTATCTATGTATCAAGTTTTGGTAAACTTAAGCACTTTACAAAAGAAAACAAACCAGATGGTGCTAGTGAACGATGTTTAACTTGCTCGGTCGAACAGACTTGTCCTTATTCAGCGAAAAAGCTGTATTTGGACATACCAAATCGAGGTTTTCCAGTGTCAGTGGTAGTACCAGATATTGAAGATGGCGAAGATAGGACTAGTATACGGACAAAAGTAATAAAAGCACTTGAAACAGGTCATTATGGTAAATGTGTATATGGTGATTGCGATAATGATGTTGTCGATCAACAAGTGGTAATACTGAATTTTGACGACGGTAAATTTTGTTTTTCAAAAATGAATGAAAAGAGTGAAAATTATAGTTCAGATTTGCAACAAAGGAACGAAGGTTGATAAATGCTGTAATCGACCAACTCGAGAAACCTCATTTCTTATATAAAAAACAGTTATCCAAGAGGTTCGAAAGTTACTCCTATAGTACTTATTCGTGCTGTCTACAGCCTAATTGAAATAGTCAATTCTTTCAGGCTGTCATATGTATAAGGAGTAAACTTGTTAAGTATAGTCATCTACGGATTTGATGATCGGCAAGGCTAGTTTCCTTATGGTTCGAAAGCTCTTCAAAAGTGTTACAAAATCGTATAAACAAAGTTCAGAAGGAAACACTGTTTGGTCTAATTTCACACAAATTACACTCCCCTTGAATGCATGTTATACTAGGAGAATACTATTAGTAAAATTCCACCTTGTTACAAGGATCAAATATGGTATTAGACTTGAATTTTTCTAATTGACTAGATTTTACCAATACACGAACGCTACAACTGATTTGATAAACACTGCGCTGTCAGACAATGCTTATGATATCATTGTACATTATCCATTCATAATGCCAATTCTCATTAATTGCTGGTCTATTTTCTCATATGAATGTCATCCTAGATGCACCTCTTGTATCGTGTCCCGGGCCGAGGTCGAAAGAATTATGATGATATGTCTGTCGTGGTCTCTGACGCTAAGCAATTTTTTCCCATATATTTCTTATTGTCTGTGATAGCATCAAGTAATACCAACACCTTTGTCAGAGTCTCTGGTAGAGGTCAAGTTACTTCAAAATGATTTCTCTGCATTTGAACACTCAACAACAATTCGTATTTCATAGAAGATATTTTCATCTGCATCAGTACATGATTCGGTCTCGGACAAAGACCGCATAAACAAAAGAAGGAATATTCTTTGAAAAAATATCAATCAATCCCTCATTGCTTTGTGATTATCTAGCATTTTCGAATTGTATCGTGCAATTAACCGTGGTTTTTGTTACGACTAGATATAATTATTTTCAGTAGAAAAACTCTTCTGTTTACTAGCTCAACTCATGTTGTTTGTATTTAGTTGTTTAACTCAGAAGAGGGTACGACTGAGTTTTGAGATCTCCGACTATCCTACTAATGAGAATGTTCGTACGTGGATCTACTCGAAATATGAATCCTGTTACTGAGAACTCCAGCATTATGTAAAACATTTTTTTAGGCGTTTTGTTACCATTTTATAGCGTTGTTGAGCAGCTTGCGTATCATAGGGAGACTGACCTTGTCGATCATCAAACGAACAAGTACTATAGGAATAACTTTCGAACCCCTTGGATAACTATTTTTTTATATCATCATCATCATCATCATCAGCCTGTATCGATCCACTGCAGGATGAAGGCCTCTTCAGCTTTTTTCCAATCGTTTCGACAGACCGCTAGTTGTTGCCATTTGATACCTTTGTATTTGATTATGTCGTCAATCCATCGTTTCTTAGGACGTTTCCTAGGTCTTTTACGGTCTCTAGGTATCCAATTTAAGATTTCTGTTGTCCAGCGTTGATCTGATCTTCTGGCGATGTGTCCTGCCCACTGCCATTTACGTGAGGCGACTCGTCTCATTACATCGCATATTTTAGTTTGTTGTCGGACCCATGTGTTTTTCTTCTTGTCACGACGGGATATATTGAGTATTTGTCTTTCCATGCTTCTTTGCGTTACTTTCAGTTTCTGGATTGCTTTTGTATTTAGTGTCCATGTTTCACATCCGTACGTTAGTACTGGTAATACGCATTGGTCGAAAACTTTTCTTTTTAGACAGATCGGCATATTACTTTTGAATATGGCGTTCATTTTTCCGAATGCTTTCCAACTTAGCTTCGTTCGATTTAGAATTTCTGTCATGATATCGTCGTTCATTGTAACTACTCGACCAAGATATATGTATTTGTTGACTTGTTCCAATTGTTGGTCGTCTATTTTGATTGGTTGCGGTATTGAGAAATTGTTGAACATAACTTGTGTTTTGCTGAGGTTCATCTTTAGACCTGATAGTTTGCTGCTTTCGTTTAGTTCTTGTATTTGAGTTTGGAGGTTCTCCGCACTGTCGGAGAATATGACAATATCGTCGGCGAATCGTAAGTGGCTGAGATATTTCCCATTTACTTTTATCCCTGTTTCTGACCAGTCGAGTCTCTTGAATATTTCTTCTAGTCCGGCTGAGAATAGTTTAGGTGAGATGGTATCGCCTTGTCTCACGCCTTTTTTTACGTCGATTGTAACAGTATTATCATTTATATGTAAAGTGGCTGTTGCATTCGTGTAGATTTCTTCCAGCAGACTGATATATGGTTCTTCAATACCTTGTCTTCGTAGTGCTTCGAATATCGTTGTCAACTTGATTGAATCGAAAGCTTTTTCAAAATCTATAAAGGCAAGACATAATGGTATTTCATACTCACCGCATCGTTCAATAACTTGTTGTACGACTTGTATGTTGTCTACAGTACTGTATCCATTTCTGAATCCCGCTTGTTCTGTTGGTTGAGCATAATCGAGCGTTGTTTCAAGTCTTTTGGTGATGATTTTTGTAAGTAATTTGTAGATGATCGAGAGTAAACTAATTGGTCTATAGTTTTTCAAATCTTCTTGGTCTCCTTTCTTGTGAAGGATAATGACCTTAGCATTTTTCCATGATGTCGGTATACTTCTTTGCTTTAGGCAACGAGTGAATAAATCAGCTAGTGTTCTATAGGTTTCGTCGCCGCATGATTTGAGAAGTTCTCCTGTTATTCCATCTGGTCCAGCTGCTTTTCCATTTTGGAGGCTTCGTATTGCTTGTTGTACTTCAGCTGGAAGTACGTCAGGGACGTCGTTTTTTTCTGTAGAGTCAGTTGTGGTTTGTTCGATGTCATCGGCGTATAACGTTGAATAAAATTCTTTGATACGTTCTATCATTTCTTGTTGGTTTGATGTTGTTGAACCGTCTTCTTTTTTGATTCTTAGTAAACGCTTCTTACCTGTGATTAATTGTTGTTTTGTTTTCTTAATACTTTTGTTTTTCTCGATTGTTGTTTGTATGAGTTGGCAGTTGTGTTGTCGAATCTCTTCCTTCACTCGTTTCCTTATGGTTTTACATAATTCGGTATATTCAATTCGGTTTCGTGGTGATTGGTTGTGCTTCCATTCTCTTCGTTTATGTATTAGTTGTCTCGTTTCTTCTGATATTTTGTTGCTTTGCTTGTATTTCTTCATTCCACCAATTTCTTTGGCTGTTGTTAACAATGTTTCAGTTATGTGTTCTTTAATGTTTGATAAGTTGGTTTCGTCTAGTTGCTTAAGTATATCGAAACGATTTGATAATTCAAGCCGAAATTCGTTTTTCCGTGTCTGGAGTCTCTGGTAGTCGATAGACGTTGTTGTGTTGGATATTAGTTTTCTTCTTTCTTTCTGTAAATTGATTTTCAAGGTAGTTCGTAGGAGTCGATGGTCACTTCCAATGTTGAAGCGGTTGATGACTGAGCAGTCTGTAAAAATCGATCTGTTGTTTGACAAAATGTAATCGATTTCGCTGGTCGTTCCTTTCGGACTTTTCCAGGTCCATTTTTGCTTGGCTTTTTTCTTGAAGAATGTATTGATCACTGATAGGTGTTCTTTTTCAGTGAATTCTACTAATCTTGAGCCACGTTCATTTCTTGTACCAAGTCCATGGGTTCCGATCGTTGTTTCATTTTGTTGTTTCTTTCCGATCTTCGCGTTGAAATCACCCATGACTATTTTGAAGTGATGGTTGTGTTCATTTAGTTGTTGTGTTACTAGTTCATAGAATTCTTCTACTTCTTCATCGCTGTGGCTGCTTGTGGGGGCGTACACTTGTATGATTTGCAGAGCATAGCGTTTTGATAATTTGATTGTCACGCTGGCTACTCTATCAGAGAGGCTGTTGAAGTTGATGACATTACGTTTCAGTTTGTTGTTGATGATGAAGCCAACGCCACTGTTTCTGCCGTCTGTTGTACCACGATAATATAGTTGGTGGCCATGTTTTATGTCTAATAATCTTTCGTCTTTTCGTCGGATTTCACATAGTCCAATTATATCCCATTTGATGTTTCCTAGTTCTAATAGTAGTTCTTCTAGCTTTCCGTCGTCTCGAAGAGTTCTAACATTAAACGTTCCGATGTTCAAATTTTGAAGGCAGCTTGGTTGTGCCCGGTGATTCTTAGCACCCTCTGCCGTCAAGCTGATCTTCCCGCTGCCATGGGTAGTAGCTATCTGGCCTCCGGGTAATGAGGGCCGTGTCTTGTAATTGGAATTCATTTGAAGGTTTGAACCGTAATCTGCCACGCTGGTTCACTGCGGGTTGGCAGATTTGCCTCCTCCTCCCCATTCTTACGAATGAGTCCCGGGCTTGGCACCGGCATGGCGGAGTTATTTTTTTATATATATGAGATGAAATTTCTCGAGTTGCTCGATTCCAACACTTATCGATCAGAGCACTCATGAGTCGATTAAGAAGTCCAGAAACTGAGTAAAAATTTACTTTTTTGATCCGACGTTGTCGTCTTAATCAGCGAGAGTATGAGATGAAGAGATCCATATTCTACATCTACTCTTACTCGCACACCTTGATAAATTTTAGGCTCAACGGCAACAATGCAAATGGTAGCTTTCACTCAGCATAGTTGGCGTCGTACATCTCGTCTATTTGGTACACACGGTGAATTGACATGGAGTGGTGAAAATACAATCGAACATTATGACTTTTTGAAACAAACTCGAACCATCTATGATGAAACTGATTTATCAAGTAGTGGAATAATGACTAGTGGTCATGCTGATGCAGATTATTTTGCGATGGATTCATTTATACGTGCAGTGGCTTCGAATCGATCGGATTTGATTTGTACTACACCACAGGATTCATTGACAAGTCATATTTTAGCATTTGCTGCTGAACATGCACGTCGTGAAAATCGTGTTTGTTCTATCGATGAAATGATGTAATGATTTTGTTGCATTTTTGAAAAAAAAAAGAATTTTATGATCAATAAACGATTAATCACTATTTCCATATTGATTTCAATTTGATATCGAAGGAAAACGTTCGTTATCTTGTATAAACTGGTTGATATTCAGAATGTGGGTGTGTTTACAAGGATGAAAGAATAATTCAAGGAAATCATACGACATATTTCGATTCTTTGCCGGATTTATTGATGTTTGTTATTTCTTGCTGAATGTCGGTCTGTAAGTGTTACTCTTTCTTCATCGAGTCCACGCCTGCATCCACCCTAATCTTTGCATTTATGCATTTTACTAAATATAGTTGTTGATGATTGCGATATCTGGAGTATCCTTACACTTTGTTTTTCTTTCTGTTTGTATCGACACGATATGTGTTCGAGTAGACATAATCATGTAGTCTATATACTGTAGAATAATGTCGCTCATTAAGAATTACCAACAAATAGATATGGGTGTAGGAATGGATGTAGTTCTTCATTTCATCGGCATCCACATCCATTCACTCACACCCTCACCCTCTTGCTATTTTTCTCTTACAAAATAATCAAAAGTTTCTCTATTTTCTATTGCAAAAGATACATTAATAATCTTAATGTTCCTTCTAACAGCCGAACATAAAAATGATATTCTTATTGTCTATCGAATAAATAAAAATTACTTCTTTTTCTTCGATGTCATTAATAATCTGTTTGTAAGTCTGATGAATGGTTGCTCCACAAGACAATACCAGCAAGCGGCTATGACTTCTGATATAATCAATGTAACTAGAAAACAAATCGGTGAAGCTATATCAATGTGATAATTTTTCATTTTTCTTAATGGTCCGTTGCCAATAAGATCAGATGCAACACGCAAATGAATTAAATAAACTAAATAACTTAGTTTTGAAAATGGTATTAAAAATTTTGATGATAATAATCGATTTAAATATTTGTTATAATAAATAGCTTTTTCATCCACTAATGTTGTGTATGAAACATAAGCAATAGCCATCGAAAGTAACTGTCTTATTGAACAAACTAACAGTATGGGTGGATCTGATTGATTCAAGTTTGGACGTAAACTAATTATTATAAATAAGAATAAGGATAAGGTCCAATAAAGATACTTTTTTATTCTGTTGCCGTTCGCAAAGTTCTGTTTTTTGTTAATTAATAATTTGACAGCCATAATGGAACCAGTAATGAAACTGCCATAACGTACATGTGTAGGAGTATAAAACTTGGTAAAACTTGATACTTTATAACGATCAACAAATTGTGACTTATTTACCGGAAATGTCAAGTTATAAGAATCAAATAGTGCCTTTGAGTGTTCATAATTTGTTTGATAGATTGGATGTGACTGAGTACCGAGCTTCATGAGCTCTATTGAGGAATCAAAAGAATAATAACAAATGATAACAGATAATAGTAATAAGCATATTAAGACTCTCATGATTTGATTTAATGTTAATTTATATTTGACCCACAATAGTCGAAGTACCAAAGATAACATAATATATACATGAAAGTCGACGCAATTAGACCAATTGATACGCAATGAATGAAACCAATAATCAAGTTTGGTATAATTCACTATGAGTAACAGATGAACAAAATAGTTTGAGATGGTAGATCTTGAATTTCGTATATAAGCTGGTTCTAGATCACCAAATAAATGCATATATAAGAACATCATTATGAAACCAGGATAATAACGTAATAAACGTTTTAAAATAAATGGAAAATAATTTGTATCATTATTATTGTTGTTCGTTAGTATAGAATACGTTAGTAAAAAACCACTTAAAACAAAGAATATTTCCAAGCTATTCATAAAAGTGACTCCAATTACGAATGCATTTGATTTTAAGTAATTGAACCATTCCTTATCTGGATACAATGGTATAAATAGAACAAAAAATTGAGAGACATGAAGGTAAACAATAGATAAACTAGCTAATGCTCTTAAACCATCAATAGTCGAAAATGAATTTGATTTAAATAACGATTGAAAATCTTTTTTTGTTTGAAATATTGCCATTGTAAATTATATATCGTTTTTCGAAGTCTTGTTATTCCTAATTCAAATAACTATGATTACATGTTTCTAAACCTAGAAAAAAAGACGAAGAAAAGTGAAGATAAGAAAAAAAGAGAAAACATATAGATGATACTATGATCTAACGTTATAGTTAAGTTTTACACTAAAACAGTCTTATCGAAATTTTATTGTCATGAAATTAGTTAGACAGTGATCAAACAACTCAAAGAATATAGAGCATCACTTTCTTTATTACTACATAAAAAAAAAGAATTTTTTTCAAGCTTTCTATACGGGAATTAATTGATGACACTAGTATTTTTGGATGGCTCTAAGTAATATATATGAAAAGCAGACAACATTTCTCTTGTAAAGAGGTTCACAAGCGAATAATGCAACTACGTTGTTTTTCTCTGAGTTTTAATGCAGTGCTTTTTTATCTCTTCCTTCTATGTTATGCGTTCTGTGCTCTACATAGAAACACATTAAATATATAGAACGAAAGAAAAAAAAAATTTTCTTGTTGTTGTGTTTCTACTTATAGACTGGCGCACAACACATCAATGAAACGAGTTGGGTTATTATCCGATCAACAAGAAGAAATATATTTTTTTCTTTCCTTTCATATATTTAATATGTTTTTATATAGAGTACAGAAGGCATAACACAGAGAAAACAGACAAAAACAGCATTGTATTAAAACTAAACCAAGAAAGAAAATGAATGTAGTTGTCATTTAAAACTAGCAGAATAAATTGAGAAGATCACGGCATATAGTATTTACGTTATTATATATAATCAGTTCATAACAAGTTTGCGAAAAAAGACTTATACAGTCTTATTATTATATTTTATTTGAGGATCTTTTAGTAAATCTTTGAATAAAAGAAACTGTCTTTAAATTTCTTTGAATTATTAAACAAAAATAATCATATCTTAAATTTGTCTGACTGTTGTAATGTGTTTTGAGTGAACTATGACATTTCTAACAGTCCCAGGTAGCATCAAATCATGTGCTTCAACTCGGCCACCAATGTAAAGATAGGATTGTCAATCTTTTTAACCATTTGTTAATTTCAATTTATATGAGTAGATCCTATGTAGATCCTATTAAAAGTATTGATATGAAATGATAGAAACTGAATTATTATAAAAGTCATTTATTCTGAATTTTCTGTTAGTTCATATCTGTCATCTAGTGCATTTTTTATCTCAAGTAACACCATAATTTTTTTGTTCGCATCTAAACACTTACATTACTTAAATTATTTCAACAGGAAAAATTTTCTTAGAACCTAGTACTCCTGAGGTAGAGAATAGTTGACATGTTGAGAGAAATAGACTTGTAATGGATTTCTATTTTTAAAAGTCCCGTATTCAACGTACTTATTCTGTTAGTTTAAAGACTATCATCTTCTATTTTGCACATTAAAAATTATACTACTGTCTATACAAAACTGTAATAGCCCTGATTATTTTTAAAATAACTCAAGAACCGAAAGAAGTTGTTCACGTGGTGCTCATTACTAACTTTTGAAAGATTCTAGTGAGATTTTCTTAAGTCTTAAGATGACTACAGGTTTTTAATATCCAAACGACAGTTCAAAAAGTCCTCTACAAAAGGACGAACGACCGACATCTCCAACTCTTATGCTTTAAATATGGCACACATTTTCCTGAAGCCAATGCAAGTGATTTTTCTCAAGAGACTAACTTGCGACTTCATACACTGAAACACGTTGTTGATCATGGTTTCTCTTGTGACAATGACTGTTCTGAATCTCTAACGGCTTTCTTAATTGAAGATGACAATATAGGCTATACAGAAAGAGTAAGAGTTATGAGTGCTGCTTCTCTTTTTTTTTTTTAGGAAACAAAAAGAGTTCTTTGTTATTTTCGAAAATTCAATTTTAACGCGTCCATTACACGTTTATTGGCCACCAAGCGAATGGATTAGGTGAACCGACCATATACAGCATGAAATAATTATGCTGAGTTTTTGTGTTTCTATTTTGTTTGCTTTTTTTCGACAAAAATGCTTATTCTTGCTTTTTTCTTATTGGGAAATAGGGATAACATGGTCTTGTATTTTCGAGAGCAGTACGTGTAATTTGACGATTTTCGTTTTTGAACTTTTTAAAACAAAGTTTATATCTTAAAATTGTTTTTCCTTGCAAAAAGAAGTCTTTCGATAGAGAAATTGACACTCCTAATATGAGTTCAAAATATATGATTAGAAGGCAAACAAATCAAAATACTGCAGTTTTATAAGCAATACATTGTAGAACATCACGTATTCACATCAGCCAGTCGACATAAGCCACGATTGGCTCCGGTAGAATTTGCTCAATTGAGGTCGTCAGATTCTGCTCAATTTCAGATACGTGATAGAAGAAACAGTTATAAGAATTTTGGTACAAGCCGTTTGACAACATTTTATTTTGCTCTTGAGAAATTTAAAGTTTTTTGAGGAATTGAAATTTTTCTTGTGAATACACCTCACGTTGACGTACTTATCATAAAAAAATGAGTGTGTATGGAGGCACTGGAAGCTTTTCCTGATATACACATTTAAGATCGCGCCCACATCCTCCACCCATCGACACCCACACCCATAAACTATACATAAAGAGGAAGTAAGTTGATCGACGCACATGTTTTCTTTTTGCTCTTTCTTGGAAACAGTGTTTGCATTTACACCGGGTAGCCACTGGAGTAGCTGCTTTCATGTAACGAAAAAAACACGATAAAGAAGTGGAGATTAGCATATTTTGTTGACACTTGGTAATTACTTTTTTTCATATTCTAAAAAGCAACATTACAATTTCAATACTCGAGTGCAATCGAAATGGTCATGTTGTAGCATTTTCAAAGCTTGTTTCAAAATATTGCTCCAGACACCGTTGAGAAAAATTAGAAACGAGACTACTCATTCATAATATGATGTATGTCCC